TGGAATATGGACATTATAGTTTAGGGGAAATAATGGAGGTGGGATTTTGTAGGAAAAACTTTATAAATGGGATTTTTGTTTTGTTTTCCCCCGCTTTGGTCATGAAAGGGCATTTAATTAGATTTGTATTAGTGAGGGAGCAGGGCAGAGTAGAGCCCATTGGCAGGGAATTTTAGAGCCAGATGATGGGAGGTTTTGAGAAGGGTGCTGATAAAGAGCCTGATTTTGAGTCTGGTGTGAATTTAGGACATTGAGATTATCAGACATAACTGTATTGGATGTGACAAGGGAACAGGAATGGGCAGAGCAACCAGACCAAGAGCTGTTAAAATAATTCAGGCAGTAGGCCTTAAATACAGAAATGGATTGGAAGGAATCAAGGTTTATCGACTTCACTGAGGCGGCATTTTCTTTGACAGAAAAATGACATGGGAGCCTAGGAAGCAGGGAGATCTAAGAAGTTTCTGTTAGTATGCGAAAATGTTTGTGCTTTGATAAACATGATGGGCTTACAGATGAAACCTATTACTGATTTTAGAGAGAAGCATCAACCAGTTGCCTCCCCCATGTGTCCTGATGGGGAATCGAACCCGACACCTTTCAGTGCATGAGACAATGCACCAACCAATTGAGCCATACCATACCTAAAAATATTCACATGGAGAGCTCCGATTCTTTACTTTCTAAAAGGAAGTCAGGGAGAGTAGCAGCAGTAGACATTGCTGTACCTTATCTGTTTAAGGCTACAAATGAGACCTTGGTCTCCCTGTTAGTTTCAAGGTTCTTCCTAATAATACTTTTTTCTGTTTCTTCTTTTAGTGGGAAAGATACTGTGGTGAAATGGTGGGACCTTGATACCCAGCACTGCTTCAAAACGATGGTTGGCCACCGAACTGAGGTATATGTGGGCTCCCAGGCCCAGGGGAAGAATTCGGGGCAACAGGAAAGGCTGGTTTTCTCCCCTGGTCCTTTCATGGCTCTTGGCTTTCAGCAGCAGTAATCGTCCAGTGCTACCTGAGAGACAGAGTCAGTGTGGTTGGGGAGGTGCCAGCCATCAGCAGATACTGGCATGTACTTAAAAGTGGCTTTGGATACGTTTTAACCCATGAATATTGAGTTTCATCTTTTTTTTTTAATCCTCACCCAAGGATATGTTTTTATTGCTTTTGAGAGAGAGATATCTGAGTTGCTCCCGTGCATGCCCTGACTGGGGAACGAACCTGCAACCTAGATATGTGCCCTAATGGGGAATCAAACCTGCAACCCTTTGGTGCAACCAACTGAGCCACCTGGCCAGGGCTAAATTCATCACTTTTAAATAGTAAGTGTCCACCTTTATGATTGTAGGGAGGCTTAATGACACTGTGTGTACAGTACCTGGCCTGGTGACATGTGAATAGCAAATTGTAGTCATTATAAAAGTTACCCGAATTTAGATCTCTTCTGTAGAGATCAGGAAATATTTCACATCTTTGCATCCTACTCTCTTCAAACCAGGCTTTCAAAAGCATATACCTGGAGTAAATGAGGAGGAAAAGCAAGTTAGATCTCTGGTTATTGATTTGCAGTAGTACTGCTATTTTTATTGTTTAGTTCTTGGGTATTTGAGGCTGAGTATTATGCAGCAGGTATGAATGGAGCTCCTTTTATTTGTGAGGCAAGGGAGTATCAGACTTAAAAGTCTTCATTAGAGTGGACTCTTATTAGGATTTATGTTGAACACTGTTCTCTAAAGATAGCAAACTGATTTTAGAGAGAGAAAAGTTATCAGACAATTGTGCCATAGGCCATTTTTTCTAACAGTGGAATTTCTCACAATCCATGTTGACAGAATTACCTTAATATTGGACTTTGCAAATTCACTACAGTGTCCTGAAGCTCTTGGAGTATCACATCATACATCCTAGGGTCTTATAAGTTGTATTATTGGAACCTCTTTATACTCTAGGTGTGGGGGTTGGTTCTGGTGTCAGAAGAAAAGCGACTCGTCACGGGGGCTTCGGACAGTGAGCTGAGGGCCTGGGACATAGCCTATCTGCAAGAGGTAATTCCCTTTTCTCATTATGTGCCTGTCGTGTTTCACCGGTTTTAGGGGCTCATTGACTTTAAAAAATCGGATGTAATTACTGAGTGCTTCACACAGCGTCACATAGTTCTAAAGGAATGCTATCACATTGATAACCTGCAACTTCTAAACAAGTTTTCTCCATTCTGTGCTCCAGTGCCCTCATGGGTTCAGGCTTGGAAGGATAGCTTCAGGCGTCTAGCTTCTGGCCATGCTAATGTTTTAGTTTGTGGGATTCTTAGCCTAATATTCCTGGACCTTCGGTGTCCATGGATGGACTTGAGAATATCAGTGACTCTT